AAAAAAAAAAGAATGTGATTGCTTAAAAGCTGCAACAGCGACTTGGACTCATCCCAGTAATAGGGCTTTATGGAGCCTCAGCGCTTCTCACAGGCCCAACTCTGTGACCACATGGGGTGGGCCCAGCTCTACAATATGGGAGGATGGAGCCTTGTGCAAAGGGCCTAAGATGACTTGAAGGACAGCTGGGGATCTTGGGACCCACAAGCACTGCTGCCACCACAGAGTTGTGGGTGTGGACAGGGGCCTGTGAGTTCGGGTTGCCAGGCTTTACCCTACCCTGGGGCAAGGCTGAGCAGCTGGTCTTAAAAAGTTATTGCCATTGATCAGGCTTTCCCACCAAACTCCCTGTTTCATAGGTTGCAGATGCCATCCTTGGAAATAAGATGTTTACTCATTACGACCGGGCCCACATCGCCCAGCTCTGTGAAAAGGCAGGCCTCCTGCAGCAAGCACTGGAGCACTACACCGACCTCTATGACATCAAGAGGGCTGTGGTCCACACTCACCTCCTCAATCCCGAGGTATTGTGTGCCACTGTGGCACTCCTATTATGGCTGTTGTCTATGCCATTAATGTCACATGCTCCCCAATGTTCACCTGTTGATGATTGTGGAACCATGGCCTGAGCCTGTCACTGCCCTAACCTACCATACTTTACTACCAAAAGCACTTCTGGTTCAGCACACGCACAATGTTTATCTGCTCAGCAGCATGTCTGGGCCCTGTAGTACCTTTCTTTCTGATGTCCACCTTTGACTTAGTCTAATAGCAGGAATACTGGTCACCTTTTAACACTGACAACCTAACAGGGCTGTCTGAAACCATTAGCAAAGCTGAACTAGCTATTGTGTTCCAACTTATGGAATAAGTTTTAGCATCGTCTGTGGAATATTGCAGGTGAACTGTTTAGATCAGTGTCTTTTCCCAGCTTTACTCCTTGCTCCTACTTTTTCCCATGATGGATAGTTGCTTTTCAATCCCTTTATGTGGAAATTCTCTATTTTTGACACTCAGGGGAACAGGAGAATGACCTAGTTATTTTCCAAGTGTTAACAATCTTTGTAGTGGTGCATTGTTGTGGACAGACTCTTCCTTGTTCCCAGTGGCTTGTCAATTTCTTCGGCTCCTTGTCGGTGGAGGATTCTGTGGAGTGTCTGCGTGCCATGCTGTCTGCTAACATCAGACAGAACCTTCAGCTGTGTGTGCAGGTGGCCTCTAAGTACCATGAGCAGCTGGGCACGCAGGCCCTGGTAGAACTCTTTGAATCCTTCAAGAGTTATGAAGGTAAACCGTGCAGCCTTTCGCCGACCCCGCCACGTGACTACACCTCCTTTCTCAGGTGTTGCGGTCCACCTGCCCGACTTAAAACGACCTTCCTGCAAAGCCAGGCAGGATGCAGCACTCGCTGCCTTGGGTGCTCAGTCAGTGGCAGAATGCGACTGCCATCTCATGTGCACCCTCAGCTTCAGTGTCCTTTTTGGTATTTCCAAAGGAAGAAATCAGGTTGGTTTGTGATGGAGTGGAGAAACTTATGGAGCCCGGTGTGTCTGTGCAGCACAGTCTGGCAAGAATTCATCTAAAAGCCTGTGTCGTGGGTACCATGAAAGGGCCTGATGTCTGGTCTTCACAGCCCCAGGAGGGAGGCTCTTTGGGCCTCTCCTAAGTGAGAGCCCACGATAGAGGGTGCATTGCTTTGTAGTATCTGCTAACCCAGTTGATAGCAGGGGCTGACGAGGCAACTTGGTTGTCTTCCTTTCCCCTTTTTGGACATCACCCCAAAAGAGTGTTCTAGGGCAATGGGGGTGGGAGTAGCTTTGTTAGGGACAGGTGGGGGCTGTCTGGCCCACCCAGGATAGAGACTAAGCATTTGTCTAGGCATCAAGCCACTGCCATGTGTCCGGTGAGGTTGGGGCATCGGTGGAGGGTAGGACAGGACCCTGCCCTCAGGGATCTGGCCTTCTCTTCAGAAGACAACACTGTAGGAAAGACCATGGCGGACGATTGAGTGGAGCTGGGCTGGGAGATAGCAGTAGAGTAGGTTGGTGGGGAACCATCGGCCTAGGGGCTGCCCATTCCCTTCCTAGCATCAGAGTCTCACAGTTACAGTGAAAGACCTCGACAGGCGGGGGCCTTCTCGGATGCACCTATCTTGTCGTTACTGTCCAGAGTTGCAGGCCTCCTCCTGGAGGCCGTGGCTTATTTCTCTCTCCCTTGGCATCAGTCCCACAGCCCTCTCAGATTACCTCAGTGGGAATTACTCTTGACGACGACTCTCTAGGTATACCTGGGCCCCCAAAAGGAATTTCACAAGTACCAAATATCTAGTATTTTACATCAAAACATGCCAGGTATGCCTGCCAAATTTGATGGAAATCTGACTAGCTATTTTTGGGAGCTGCCAAAACAGACAGATGGCATATTGATTATGAGTTCTGAGTGGGCTATGGGTCCACTGGAGAGTGGAGCAGGGTGAGTCCCTGGAGAGTGGAGCAGGGTCATCGAGGGAAGGTGGACAGCAGCTACGGAGGAGACCAGGTGGGTGTTGCAAGGACAAAAATGAAACAGTCTCTCTTCATAGGCCTCTTCTACTTCCTGGGCTCAATTGTGAACTTCAGCCAAGACCCAGACGTGCATCTGAAATACATTCAGGCTGCCTGTAAGACAGGGCAGATCAAGGAGGTGGAGAGGATGTGCCGAGAGAGCAGCTGCTACAACCCAGAGCGTGTGAAGAACTTCCTGAAGGTGTGTTCCAGCACTGCCTCCTTGTGTTCCACAGCTGAATTGCTGATGGCAGGTGGGGCAGACCATCCGCAGGACGTCCCAGGAGGCAGGAAGCTGGATCTGTCTCACCAGGGACCCCTTAGTCCCAGGGACAGAGCTCCGCCTTATGGCTTAAAGTTCTAGAGGAACCCTTCTATCGTTTTAAGAACGTGGAACGCAGCTTGAGGCTGTGCTCTAAGTATCTGGCACGTGAGTGGAGGGAGTTAGTTTATTGCTGCATTGTAATTCATCAACATCCCTTTAGTGCCATTGTCAATTAAGCAGGCAAAGCTGCAGAAGCAAGTAGACCACTCAGCACTAGTGTCATAAAGAACAGGAAGCCTGCTTCCTTATGTGGCAGTCCTGGGTGGGCTGGAGGTCAGTGGGGTGGCTTTCCTTCCCACTGTCCTCCAAGGACCAGGCTCATGGCTGCTTTGCGGTGTTCAGCACCTCACCTGGATGTCGTCTTCCCAGTCAGCTAGAAGACGGGAAGAGCACAGAGGAACCAGCATGGATGGTTTTTATGGGCGAGGCCTGCAAGTGGCAGATGAGACTTGGATTCACGTCCCCTTGGAGGGAATGAGGTCATGTGGCCACACTTAAAACTTCAAGGGAAACCAGGAAATGTGATCTAGGCATGGGACCACACAAGGGGGAGGCATGATTGTGGTGACCTGTGGCTGTCCTACCCAAGTGCCATCATCATCTGGGAATGGTGCCCAGGTGTGTTTCCATGGCCTGCGGCTGCATGTCTGAAAAGGCAGCCTTTACTGCAGGTGTGCTGTTCTTGAGAATGGCCTGGTTTCTGTTGGGTTTGCACGTAATGAGCTGCTTGTCTTAAAAGATATTTTTGTCCAGATTTGGAATGTTAATGCCACATTTAACGATCTTTAACCAAATGCTATTATCTTTCACTTATTTCCAAAGCAAACACCATACCACAAAACGACAGCCTATCTAGAGCAGTCTCATTCTGAGTCTCCTGCACGTCACTCTGCTGCAGAGAGAGTGCTGTCCCATATGGGCAATGAGTCCGAGGTCTGGCTGTCTGGTTTCTCCACTCCCTGACTTGTTCTGTGCATTCTAATCCTCAGGAGGCCAAGCTCACAGACCAGCTTCCCCTCATCATCGTGTGCGATCGTTTTGGCTTTGTCCATGACCTTGTCCTGTATTTATACCACAACAACCTGCAGAGGTACATTGAGATCTACGTGCAGAAGGTACTGCTGGCTCCCTGGAGTGACCCACAGCTGCCTCTGGGCCCCAGTCAGTGACAATAGTCTTCACCTCAGAGGCTGCCTCTAACATCTGGCATTTCAGAGACTATCATTTTGAAGGGTGGTGGGTTAGTGTGCTCAGACTGCCAGAGTAGAAGAACACAGTCCAGGCGACTGAAACAACACACATTTATTTCTCACAGTTTTGGAGGCTGGAAGTCCACGATCAAGGTGCTGGCAGAGCTGGTTTCTGGTGAAGGCCGTCTTCCAGGCTTGCAGACGGCCTCCTGGCTGTGCCCCACAGGGCCTTTCCTCTGTGCATATACATTCCTGGTGTCTCTTCCTCTTCTTAGAAGGACATCAGTCCCATTGCATTAGGGCCGCACCGTTGGCATTGATTACCTCCTTAAACACCCTCTTTCCATATAGAGTCCCACTAGGGGTTAGGACATCAGCAAGTGAATTTTGGTGGGACACAGCGCAGTGCTAAACAGGAGCCCTTTCAGGGTTTTGCCCAGACTGTCCAAGTTGTAGGAGGCTTCTAACAATAACTTGTGTCTGCAACACTGAAGTTACTTCACCTTGACTACTGTAGGTCAACCCTAGCCGGACCCCAGCTGTGGTTGGAGGGCTGCTTGATGTGGATTGTTCTGAGGAAGTGATTAAACACTTAATCATGGCAGTGAGAGGACAGTTCTCTACTGACGAGTTGGTGGCTGAAGTAGAAAAAAGAAATAGGTAAGGTGTCCTTACTTGGTGTTTTGTCTTACCCCTGGATTCTAGTGTCTGTTGTTGCTTCTGTCTAATTCTCCAGGACTGTCACTGTAGCTGATCATTCATGTGCACATCTTAGATGTAGCAGTGAGTTACTTGCTATTGGTACTGTGAATACCTTGGGGGAAAACCTAACAGTAGAAATCAGTTTGGAAATCAGGTCCATCTTCGTCCCTAGAGCAACCTGAAGTTAATGTACTCCGAGATTTTTTGTTTCAGGAAACATCTGTCAGAGCCCTGGAATTGTCCTCAAGACTTCCAGTGGTAGCCTTGAGACTTCACGGTGCCTTCCTTCTTTCAAAGGCTCAAGCTGCTGCTTCCCTGGCTGGAGTCCCGGATTCAGGAAGGCTGCAAGGAGCCTGCCACTCACAATGCACTGGCTAAAATCTACATTGACAGCAACAACAGCCCCGAGTGCTTCCTGAGAGAGAATGCCTACTATGACAGCAGCGTGGTGGGCCGCTACTGTGAGAAGCGAGACCCCCATCTGGCCTGTGTCGCCTATGAGCGGGGGCAGTGTGACCTTGAGCTCATCCAGGTGGGTAGCAGATGTGCTGAGCTGCCCATGCAACCCTGGCCTCCCAGGAAAGCTTTCAAAGGTGTGCCCGTGGGGAGCTGATCAGGGCTTTCTGTGCACCTGGAGATGGCAGGTCATGAGATTATTTCCTTGTGATTCTCGCAGCTTTTGGGAACTTGCTCATGCGGTTTGTATGCATTGTACCTGTAGACCAAGTGGCCATGAACCTGACTTATCATCCCTCTGCTTATGGTCCTTACTGTTGCCTGGTAATTTGAAGGCAGAATTGAACTCCTTGGCCTGACTCGTGAGCTCCTCTGTGGACTGCCACCTTCCCCCAACTCCCCAACTTGATCAACCACCCATCTTGCCAACCCACCTGGAGGGGCCTACAGTTCCCTGGGTGCCTCATGTCCTGACTGCCCTTGTACTTCATGCCCCCTTTTTGGGATAACCCTCTACACAAGCCTTTCCCCATCACCTGACCGGTGAGCTCTTGCTGGCCCCTCCTTGAGACATCTGCCCAGGTCTTTTGCCTACATCTGCCCAGGCTTGGATCCACATATAATTACATGTTTAGGTTGAATTGTATGAACTGTTCCTACCGAACCATTTGATCTAAAAATCCAGACATGAACAGAGCACCTATGAGGTTGGTACTGCACCAGCCTGCTCGGGCGTTTCCCGTGATGCACAGGCAGCCTGCGCTGCATCTGCAAACACCTTTGCATGCCACTCAGCCTTTGTGCCTGGCATCTGGCACTCAACAGATCTGATCCTCACCAGGATTTAGCAAGTGCTGCAAACGCTGGCACATTCCAGTGGACTGATGGTGTTTTGAATATCTGTTATAACATTCCGTAAAGGGTCTCCAGATCTGCTAGTGAAAGCACAGTTTGCAGTTTTTAGGTCTTGAAACATTGCAGTGTTTGTGCTGTTTTATTCCAGTTCTAGGCTGTTCTGATAACATTTTACAGATGGCTTAGAGCTAGCTACATATGAGTACTTAAATTTAACCAAATTAAAAATTACCAGTTTAGTTCCTGTCATGCACCACATTTCAAGGGCTCAGTAGCCTCCCGTGGCTAGTGGCTGTATCAGACAGAATGGGAGACAGAGCATGTCCCTGAATGCAGGAGGTCCTGTTGGCCAGAGATGTGGCACATCCCTAGGAGTTGTAAACTTGGAAAGGGCATTTGGAGGTAGTTTGAGTCCTTTGTTAACCCTGTAGGATGCTGCTCATCCTGTGTCAAAGCACAGCGCCTTGCCTGGGCCCTGACTGTTCACTAAACCGGTATCAGGCACACAGGGAACGAATTGGGGTGTGTCCTCCCAAGCAGCTTCCATTGATTGACTGCTGTGTTACACACATGAGTATGCTCATTTCAGGTGTGCAATGAGAATTCTCTGTTCAAAAGCGAGGCCCGCTACCTGGTACACAGAAAGGATCCAGAGCTCTGGGCTCACGTCCTTGAGGAGACCAACCCATCCAGGAGACAGCTAATTGACCAGGTGAGGCACAGAGATGGGTATGTCTGTGCACCTGCATTTTGCCGTCTAATCGTCGTTGTGGCTCAAGTGACTGGTTTCATTTTTCATTTAAAACATCTTGACCGAGTGCAGTTGCTCACGCCTGTAATCCCAGCACTTTGGGAGGCCGAGGCAGGTGGATTCCTTAAGGTCTCAGGAGTTCAAGACCAGCCTGGCCAACATGGTGAAACCCTGTCTCTACTAAAAATACAAAAATTAGCTAGGCGTGGTGGCACACACCTGTAATCCCAGCTACTGGGAAGGCTGAGGCAGGAGAATCGCTTGAACCCAGGAGGTGGAAGTTGCAGTGAGCCGACATCGTACCACTGCACTCCAGCCTGGGCGACAGAGAGAGACTCCATCTCAAAAAAATAAATAGGCCAGGCATGGTGGCTTACGCCCGTAATCCTAGCACTTTGGGAGGCCTAGGCGGGTGGATCACTTGTGGTCAGGAGTTCAACACCAGCCTGGTCAACATAGTGAAACCCCATCTCTACTAAAAATACAAAAACACACTGTGTGGTGCATGCCTGTAATCCCAGTTACTCAGGAGGCTGAGGCAGGAGAATCGCTTGAACCCAGGGGGTGGAGGTTGCAGAAGCCGAGATCGCACGCCACGGCACTCCAGTCTAGGCAACTGGGTGAGACTTCATCTCAAATAAATAAATAAATAAATAAAACATCTTAGCCCTTATGAACTTTCTCCCCTGCAGAAGTAGTTTGCCTAAAATTAGCTTGATTCCCCAGGTGAGCTGACTTGGAATTGTTTACTGGCTGAGGGCATAGAGTTGGCCCTTGGATCCAAAGCAGGGATATGCAGCCCAGGAAGAGAGTACCTGGTGGCATGCCTGCATGCTGGGCCCAGCTTAGCCCCCGTGGACAGAGGTGAAGTAGCTTTCAAGGTTGTCTCAGCTGACTTCCCTGTGTTGAAAAACTCTTTATGCCCCTGTGACTATCCAGCACCTCCTGCAGAGTGCTGGAGCCAGGGGTCATTATTGGGTGTGGCCTGGCAGGTGGGAGTCTGCCTTGGCCTCTGGGAGGACTTCCCCCAGCCCTGTGGAAGAGCCTCCCCTCCAGTCACAGCCTCACAGACACTCACAGATAGTGCCTCTGCTGCCCTCAGCACTGTTCCTAGGTGCTGGGCATACTGTTTAGGGGTGGGGCAAGACCAATGTTGGAACAAAACCCTCATCCAACAAGTGGCTTCAGCCCTAAGAATAGGACCAGTTAAAACTCCCACCTCCCTCGTACACATTGCCAACCTGCTGGACCGGCGCTTTTGAAAGTCTTGAGGGGTGGATTTGACCTTTATCTCTACTGAATTTTATCCTCTCGTTTTCTGTCCACTGTTTCTCCAGCCTGTGCCACTACTTTTTTAAATAAACTTTTCATTTTGAAATACTTTGAGATTTATGGAAGGTCATGTTGTTTTGAATCTCTGTTTCAACTTTGGACTTACCCATCCAAATCTAATAGAAATACTAAACAACACAATATGCTGCTAGGGATTTACATCCAAGTTCCCAGACATCAGACTTTTCTCCAGGTGTAGTCCAGCCACCTGGTACAGCTTGAAGGTGACTTCATGTTGGCACTGGGGAAGGGCAACTTTAACATTGCACCATACCAGAGCCACCGGGGGCCTCTTGTCTTCCTGTTTCTGGGTCTTTCTTTATCGCTGCTGGTCTTTCGTTATCGCTGCTGTAATTGAATATCTGTAGCCACCTCCCGGTGGGAAATTCAACTGCAATGCTCCTCTAATCCAGAGCACATAATAACAGAGGGAGGCTGCTTTTAGTGTCTGGAGTGGAACCTCATTATGAAATGTTTACTGAGAGCAGTGTCCTGAGGCAACCTTAGGTGGGGCATCCTGTATTGACTCAAACAAATGGTAGAAATTTATTTTTGCCCTTAAAACAACCTGTCTATATTTACTTAAGTTGCTCCAAGTTTTTCTTTTTTTTTTTTTTTTTTTCTTTTTATGAGATAGAGTTTTGCTTGTTACCGAGGCTGGAGTGCAATGGCACGATCTCCGCTCACTGCAACCTCCGCCTCCCAGGTTCAAGCGATTCTCCTGCCTCGGCCTGCTGAGTAGCTGGGATTACAGGGACCTGCCACCATGCCTGGCAAATTTTTGTACTTTTAGTAGAGATGGGGTTTAACTGTGTTGTCCAGGCTGGTCTCGGACTCTTGACCTCAGGTGATCCGCCTGCCTCGGTCTCCCAAAGTGCTGGAATTAGGCGTGAGCCACCACACCCGGCCTCCAAGTTTTTCAAGAACTGACAGATGTCACTTTAGGAAGTATACCTTCTCCTTTGGATGGACTTGTGCTGTGTCCTGGTGCCCCCTTTCCCTCAGGCACACCCTTTTGGTTCCTCAGCTGCTGGGAGAGCTCCTGTTCTCAAACTCTTCAGCCTCCTTGCTGTGGATATTACAAACTCCACAGAGGTAGAACTTTTGCATCTTATGGTACCATTGAGTTCACAAAGACCACCAGAAAGGTGGACTGGACTGACCTTGACCCTACGTTCCTTTAAGGCCCCTCAAGATTGCTATGTAAAAGTTCATGGTCAGTGGGCTGTGTTAGCCATGAAAGACCGTCCAGAGCTGTCTCTTCCCTCTCATTGATACACGGCTGTTGACCACCCCTGAGGAGAACCAGAAACTTGGCAAAAATATTAGATCCTCGAAGTCACTGAAGGTGCCTGGTCCAAAGTGCAAAGAGAGCAGTGCTGGCATTCCAAACTGCTGTCACGTGGGAAATGTACTCTTTGGAAAACTGTCTTTCCACCCTATTTGTAAGTGTTTTTGTATGTGAGACACCTATAATTGGATGAGGGGTGGCACAGCCAGTCTTTTGTTGGTCTTTCCTTCAGCTTGTGGTTCTGAGTGGCATCCGGTGTGAAGGCACCTGACTCCACAGCTCTGGCTATGGACTGTGCCACAGCAGTGGCAGTGCTCTTTGCTCGTAAGAGGCTGCTGGAAGCCCCTGCAGTGTCTTCAATAGAGAAGGGGAGCCATATTTGCTATTAGTGGCTTTAAAAGACAAATCTAAAAGGAGACATTCATTTAAAAATGCTTAGTGCACTGGTCATTGGAGCAGAGTAAGAGTCTGTAGCTCATTTGATATGAGAGAAAAACTAATTGTCAAAATAGAGCAAACTGAGAATTTCCTGAAATTGACTTTGAAAACCCTTCCTTTGTTACCTTAAGAAGTCTCCCATTTTCTCTGTCTGTTCCACACCATCTTGGAGGAGTCCTTCCCTTCTGTTTAGCTTCAAAGATTCAGTCTTGAATTGACTAATCAAGTTCTTTCAAATGCTTTTTAAAACCAGGTAGTACAGACAGCATTGTCAGAAACACGGGATCCTGAAGAGATTTCGGTCACTGTCAAAGCCTTTATGACAGCCGACCTGCCTAATGAACTGATTGAACTGCTGGAGAAGATAGTTCTGGATAACTCTGTCTTCAGTGAGCACAGGTGAGGCTATGCCAGGGGTAGCTATGGACACAGGCAGATTCAAACATCTGTTTGATACTTACCTTCTGTTACAATCTCGTACCACTTTACCCATCCAGCCTGCCCACTGGCTGCTCCCCAGACATGCCAATCTTCCTACCACCTCCTCTATCTCAATGTAGTCCTTCCCTTATTAGCTCCTGCCTGTCTCAGAGCCCAGCCTCAGTTTCACATTTTCCAGGAGGCTGCACTCCTCTTACTGCTCTGGCCCACACTGTCCTTTAACACAATGCTCAGAGAAGGGGAGCTGGCATTTTATGAAGGTCTCATGTGGCCTAAGGATGTATTGAACTCTTCAAATCGTAGTGAACAAAGCTTGGAGAAAGGTGGCAGGAGAACCAGATCTGGGCATGTATCAGGGAAGACTTGCCAGAAGTATAATGTAGAAGCCAGATGAGGAGAAGCTGTGGCAGGGACAGCAGCACAGGCTGGCATCATAGAGGTGGGAGTGCGTGCTTCCACATGGACCGGCACTGTAGAGGTGGGAGTGCGTGCTTCCACATGGACCGGCACTGTAGAGGTGGGAGTGCGT